CTGCTTGGCGACTTCAATATTAACCACCCATGGTGGGACCCTATAGTAGCTACTATAACACCAAGAGCAGCTAGTTTTGTTACTTGGCTAGAAGAACAAGACCTAGAGCTACTAAATAGCCCTAGTATAGGCACTTTCTTTAGGCCTAACATGAATAGAGAGAGTGTCCTAGACCTAACCTTTGCTACAACACAGCTAGCAAACCTTATAGAAGACTGGCAAACGCTAGGTGGAATTGGCTCTGACCACCTAGGCATCTTATTTACAATAAGGACGCCTAGAACACAGCAACTTAACAAACCTGCTCCTAGGTTTAACACTAAGAAAGCAAACTAGAACCTATTTAGCAAAGTGCTAGCAAAGGAGATAGCAAACAGCTCTGCTCTTAGCAACGCAAACACTCTAAACTACTCTACGAGCAGATCCCTAGCACTTCTCCAAGGAGAAGACCAAGACCTAGAAGAGCAGCTAGAAACACTGGGGAAAGAGCTTACTATAGCTATAACTAAAGCAGCTAAGGCAGCAATTCCACAATGCTCTACCACTGCAAAAAGCAAGGCCTGGTGGAATCAAGACCTTAAAGCACTTAGGACAAGCATGCTTAGCAAACAACGCCAACTGCAGAGAGAACTCGCTGTTAGCCTAACAAGTGCCTACACCTAGAAAAGAGAATATCTAACAGCTAGAAACAGCTATCTACAGGCTGTCAAAATAGCTAAACGCGACCATTGGAACCAATTCCTAGAGAGAGAGGACCCTAAATTAATCTTTAAAGCTTTAGCTTATACTAGGACTACTTATAGCCAGAATATACCTGCTAACGTAAACCCCCAGCACCCGGGCCAACCCAGCACCCGGGCCATTTCTTGCCAAGACCACAACTATTAATATTAACACGTAATGCCTCGCCAACAAGATGCGCAATTATCTAAACAAGAGGGTAGAATTAATCTTGCCCTTTCTACTTTCTAATTACATGAATTTAAAAGCCTCTGAAGCGCTGCTTAGGCATTTAACGTACCGCGTACAACCTTAAGTGCTAGGTATAGAGGCAGACTCTATATTAACAATAGACGCAACGCACAACATAAGCTTACGCGCACCAAAGAGCAAACGATTGTACGATACATTCTTGACCTCAATTCGCGAGGATTCGCGCCCCAGCTGTGCGAGGTGGCAGATATGGCCGACAAACTGTTGGGTGTACGCGGTGGGCAGCCTGTTGGCAAGCACTAGGCTGAGCGCTTCGTGACGCGTTCAGCTACG